GATTTTTTTTTTTTTTTTTTTTTTATAATTATATATTATTCCTATGCCATATACATGTGATTTTTTTTTTTCCAGCATAGTTCTTCACTGAAATCATTCTGCCTCATTGTGAAGTGTGCAGGATTCATTTTGAACATCCCATTCAGTTACCAACTATGGGTCGCTGCCCAATAAAGGGCTACATTTAAAATCACAAAAAAAATGTGAGTAACCATTTTCTATTGATTCGATTGCTGCACAGGTAACTGACACGTAAAACATTGATCCACAATAGATTAAGGTCAAGGCCTGAACACAACTGTCCACATTGTCTGTCAGTCATAGCCCAACGCTTCGCCATACAGAACTGAGTGCGACGAGGTGTGGCCTCTTTTAACCTGAAATGATTCGAGTCCCAGCGTGAGCTCATCTCTCTGACACTATTCTACCCTAGCGGCTTGATCACGCAGTTGAGTGTCATTCAGCAGTGAAACTCCTCGTCGACTTTCTGTCTTCCTTCGCCATTGCTTTCTGTCCACCTCTCTGTCGGCAGCAGGTCATCCATTGCTTCGCGCTCACCCAAACCTTTTTGCTCTCCGTGGAGGCCCTCCTCTCGAGCATGATGATTTTACAGAGAGCTGTGAGCAAGACGGCCACTTCATATTCATTGGCATGTTTCATCTTCTGGATTCTCTGAGCTTTTCCAAGATCCATCAAGCAGAGGGGATTTTTATTTACTTTTTTTAATCGAAGTCGGTGCTTCTATTTGATCTCTTATCGTCAAACCATCCTGACAAAGTAATGTCAAACCTCAACTCATCTTTGATGGTCCCGGTCCTGGATGCTCTTCTGTCTCCGGAGCACCACAATTTATGTCTTCCACGGAAGCGTGTCCCTCCTCAATGAGATCAGTATCTTTCATGCTCCGTGTGAGCTGATGGACACAATTAGGCATCGGTGAGACGTCATCCTGCAATCTTAAATCGTTCTCTCTCTTTTCTTCGACTGACTCCAAGTCGTCTCTTGACTTAGTTTTAGAGCCAGATGGCAGAGGATTTTCTTCAACGTCTAAGTCACTGCCGCTGTCCGAGCTGTTGTCTTCAACTCCGTGCCACCACTGGAAATATTTCTTGCCTTTTGTCTCAAACCGGTGTCCAACCTTATCATTCAAGTACCTCCCTGAAGTTCCAGCGAGAAAATTCTTCTTAGCTTCTTGCCCGCCGGGGTCTTCACTCTCTCTGGACCCTTCTCCTTCCTTAGCCAGGTCACTAGAGTTTTTAGCAAGTTCATGGATACTTTTAAGTGATTCAATATCTTCTGAATCCATTTGATCTGTTGACCTTCCCTCTGATCTACCAAGTAGAGGTTCTTCATCGTTATCTAAATCCGTACTGCTGTCAGAAGTGTTGTCAAACTCGTGCCACCACCTAGAACGCTTCCTCGTTCTTGTTTCCTCTTCCGGTTCTGCGTCATCCCGAGATCGCTTTTTCGATGGTCCCCATGGATACTTTTAAGTGATTCAATATCTTCTGAATCCATTTGATCTGTTGACCTTCCCTCTGATCTACCAAGTAGAGGTTCTTCATCGTTATCTAAATCCGTACTGCTGTCAGAAGTGTTGTCAAACTCGTGCCACCACCTAGAACGCTTCCTCGTTCTTGTTTCCTCTTCCGGTTCTGCGTCATCCCGAGATCGCTTTTTCGATGGTCCCGGCTGAGGTTCTTCTTCTTCTTCTTCTTCTTCTTCCTCTTCCTGGCTGACCACCATCTGAACCTCAGCTGCAAAATCACTGTCCGAATCATCTTCATTCTCTTCAATGATATGGTTAATGTGATCAGCGTGATTTTCGATTTGGACATTTACAATGTTTTCATTGACAAAGCCAATTTGGTTTTGTCTGAAGACTCTCATATGATGATTTATAATAATATGCAAGAGGAAGATAAATTCCATGTCATTATTGTCTCCGTTCGGTGGTTGATCTTCTGTTGGGATGTGAATATGGTGGCCTGGAAGACAATTAAAGCCTGTGGGTGACAATGTACACCAAACGGAAATATAAATCCTGTTCATCAGATACTTACGATTCGGACCATTGTGGTCTCCGTCCCCTTGTCCATCCATTTGGCTAAAATAACGAGAAATTGCAAGCACAAATTGACTAATACATTTGCAGAAAGCTTTCGGCTGTGTCTAACATATTTGAGGATTTAAATGATTGTCACGCTTCAAGAGTTAACATTAATGGAAACACATGTGTTTATATTCTGTGGAGGATAACCAACAACAAATTGCTTGAATTTGAGGTCAGATAAGTCGAACTAATGCCTCGGAAGGAGGTTTTCGCACTGTAGCAATGACAACGAATTTGGCTCCGCCCCCAAAATACTGTGATATCACATAATGTCATTCCCTTCCTTCATATAAACATTATGACATTTCATTTGAAACGAGATTGTCATGCTGTCACAGAACTGCTTTGTAGTCATTTATGCACAAGCGTTGCATAATCATAAACTTACCTCAGGCTGGAGGAACTTGTCTTTGCTAGTCACAAAGAATGCTGGTTACAAAGCCATCAGGAACTGCAGGTGGAAGTTCTTCTGATGGTTCTGCATTCTATTCTAGTCACAATCATGCTTATCCAGATCAGTTGGGTTAAAGGTCATTCATTCCATTTTGCGTTTCCACATTCTGCCCTTTTCAAAGCTGCGCGTCAAAGCCTCATTCATGGCAACAGACACTTCACCCCAACAGTGCATATAAATATACAGTCCTCTTTGTAGCCATTCAATCTGAATGCTTTGAATAAAGCACTTTATGTCATCATGCACAATGTCATCATCATGATGATGAATGTATTTCTTGTGTGATATTGCACTGCTCTATGCATTACTGTACAAGGAATATGAATAAACATCCCTGCTATTGATGGTGTAAGCATTGAATGAGGTGACAAGCGTTACGGGGAATCTTAAGACTCTTGTTGATGGAGTGCAAAAGTCTTCAACGCTTCAGATAAAATGAATTTCCCTTGCTTAAAAAGAAGCAGTAAGGAACGTACTTGTTTAAATGCATTGCAGGTCAAACCTCATGGGCACCAAGTTCACTGTATATGACAGTGGCCTGAACCCTATGAAGACCACCAGCAGCCTTGAAGACAGCAATATGCGCCAAGAGCTCGCGGCCATTTGCTATGTGAGTTCCTTTTGTCTTATCTTTGTATCCTTCGGAGGCACTGTGAGTTTCTTTCAGGTTCCATTTAGCTCTAGTATTTTATTTGAAAAGGTTCGACAATTACAATGGTATTTGGTAGAGAACAGAGTGATGCCAATGAAAATTGAACAAGTATTTTATAAGGTGCCTAGGGGTGAGTGAAACATCCAATAGTAACTCAAATAGCGAGAATGCAGATCTTCTTCAAAATGTGTCAGGTTCTTCTTCAACTTCTCCGAAAGATGTCCATTAAGAAGGGAAGGTTGTTTTGCATTTCTGCTGATGAACTAAGGGTACAACGTTAGCCACGGCAGCCCTGTTTTAGACCACTGCGGAAAGATTTTGATGGTTTTAAGACAACACGGGGGCGCAAGATGGGCGAACGTCAGCCTGGTCATTATTGCAGTAGAGGCCAGGTGTGATTTTAAACCCTTTCAGGGACAGCTACAGTGGACAGTTTATCATGTCAGGTTACAGAGTGCGTGAAAGGGTTAAAATGTTAAAAAAATTGCCATGAAGAACCTAGTCGGCCGTGGTAAAAACGGTGAATGTGACTAAGCCTGACAGTGCATAATCATGCATATCAAAACTTGGACGTAGTCCGTCGTGTGACGGCAAGCAATTACTGCTGGCGTCTCACGCTCGCCGCCTACATACTTAAAATGGTGAAAGTGTGAGTGAGTGAGTGAGTGAGTGAGTGACAGAAAGACAATTATCTGACAATGAGGAGACTGCAGGGTGTATGTTAACACCATGTTTGGGAACAAGTGATGGATTAGTGAAGTAGTTATTGACAGAAAATGAAGGTTATCACACATTTATTAGCCCAGCAAAGGGGCTTCATTTGACTTTATCCGGGCCACAAACATCGAATGCGGAGAAAAGTAACGGACAAAATCCCACAAACAGTACGTTTCAGACAAATGAGGCTATTGTGACCACTGGGACCACGGTGCAAATGTAGCCTAAGCAACAACAAGCCATTAAAACAATACTTCTGTCTTTTTCAACTGACAGAGGAAGTTATCATGGTGCGTTGCAGTGCCATGCAAAGAAAGTACTTTTAATTCACACTGATATTAGATGATATGTTGTCATGTGTTTTGGATTAAAAATGATGCCTTCTACATTTTGATCTTTCAAACCTAGGAAACCAATGTCTTGGGATTCAAGGGACCTCGTAAAATGAGCGTTATCATCCCAGGAATGAATATGGACCATGAGAGAGTGTCAATTCGGCCACGAAATGTATGTATTTCAGTGAGCTGATCAGTTCAACGTCTCAAACATACACCTTGACATATTGGGCGGACCGTTATGACTGACCTCCGTTGTTTTCTTTTTCTATTGTAGGACCATGAGTCATTGCTGGCAAGGTGGCAGAACAAGAACACAGAGAGTGTGATTGAACTTCATAACAAAACTCCAGTGTGGAATGATGACACGCAATCGTATGTGCTCAACTTCCACGGCAGAGTCACTCAGGCCTCTGTCAAAAATTTCCAAATCATTCACGACAATGACCGTGAGTTTCATGTCCCTCAGTAGTTAAAGAGTGATCATGTCAAACTTGGAAAAAAGCAAATAGGATCACGAACCATAGTGTTTTTGGTAACTCAAGTCGAATTTGAATTCACGTCTCACTTCCAGAACCCTATCATTTCAAACTGACGCAAAGGGACAAGTAACATATAACTACCCTTAACAGTGGCGGCTGGTCAAGAGAGGGCACGGTGGTCACCACATTACTTTTCTTGAAGACAGAAAATGGAATAAAAATACTTCTAATCAAGTCAAAACATTTGGAAATATATGTACAGTGAAACCTCTAGTTACCAACTTCATCGTTTTGGTGAGCACATTTCTACCTTGAAACGTTCATAAATCGAGGTAATATTTCTGATTGAAATGAACACAAATGCAATTAATCTATTCTAGCCCCAAAATGAAGTTATGATGACCCCTTTTTAACTATTGTGTGGTCTAAAGTAAATATAAACTGGGATGACAGGGTTATTTTAAAGATTAATTCACTCCTTCATGACTGCCTCCTTCATGCTATTACCAGCGAGTTCTTTCTCATTTGCCTGTCTACTAAATACCAAAACAACAACACATATGTAGCTTAGTTACATAACGTGAAAAGAAGAGCACAGATCTTTCTGCTCCCCGTACGACAAGCGCTTCAAATAACATACCTTTAGGCGGTTTCCCTTTTCCTCGTGGCATTGTGACTCTTTAGCGCTTTCTTGACATCTGCATTCATTCAACACGGCTGTTTCTGGCACAAAAGCGGCATATACACCAAGATGTATTGTATCTGTGATTAAATGAACGGATTTTATGTAGGTGGAACTTCCGCCTCATGACAACATGCGGGGGACGGCTATTTGACATGATTATTCCTTCCTTATTATTACATCTGGGGTAAAAAAATCGGCTAACTTAGCTAAATCGACCACAAAAATTGGGTGACACAAAAATTTCTGACTTGAAATGAAGGATGGGGCGATTACCAGAGTAATCGATGGAATAATTGATGGGATAATCAATTCTAAAATAGGTGAACTGGCCCACAGGCCCCTCGTAGTCCTTGGGCACCAAGTAAGTGACCCCTGTGATCGAAAAGAACATCGAATACTGTACGGTCTTCTTCATTATTACAGTATGTGTTTTCCTGTTACGACTTTTAATGGCTCAGGGCCTTTTACACAAAATTGCAAAGATTTCAGGTTCTTATTTCCTGTCTTCATCCATCATTTCAGCTGACTACATTGTGATGCAGTTTGGCCGTGTGGCAGAGGATGTCTTCACCATGGACTATAACTACCCAATGTGTGCCCTTCAAGCCTTTGCCATCGCCCTCTCCAGCTTTGACAGCAAGTTAGCCTGTGAATAGACGGCAGCCTAAATAAGGCCATCTCGTCCATGTATGGTCTCATCAAGGGCTGTTCATGTAACACTGCGGCTGGTCCAAACTCCAAAACCACCATTTCCCTGTATGTGTGTGGATGTGAGCGACTGTTTGTGTGTGTGTGTGTGTGTGTGTGTGTGTGTGTGTGTGTGTGTGTGTGTGTGTGTGGGTGTGTGTGTGTGTGTGTGTGTGTGTGTGTGTGTGTGTGTGTGTGTGTGTGTGTGTGTGTGGAGGGTGGAGGAGGTGGGGGGGGGGCATCAAGCACAAAGTTGCCCACTTTTAAGACAATGAAATCAATGTGTTTTGTAAACATTTTGAAGTTGAAGTGTGCCACTGTTCCTTTTATTTTATGTACTAGCTAGAGCAGCTTAACATTGTGACTGATGTGACTAATAATTGCATATTTGTACATTTTTGGAGTTGGCTACATTTTATGGACCTGTCACGAAAACAACCCATGGTTAAAAAAAAAAAAAAAAAAAAACAAACAAAAAAACAAATTAAAAAAAAAACATCCACAAGCATGAATACTTACACGGTTCCAAGATTAACATGCATGTCAAAAGCTATTTATTTTGTTATTTATGTATTTATTACATGTTTTGTTCTCTGGACAGTTTTGGCTCTGCGGAGCTGCAAGCACATCAAATAAAAAGCATCCACATAAAACGAATGGACCTGAGCAGGGCAAAGGCATGTTACACTGTGCTGTGTACCGTACAATATTGTGTCATTGGGTCACATATGTGAATGTATAGAATAATGGTGCACTTTAATTTAAAACCAGTAGTGGACGAGATTGCTGTAAATGGGTTTTTGTGCCTTTGAACACTAACTGCAGTGTGGCGCGTTGGCTGTAAAGTGAGCTCTTTGCTGTTCTTGCCAACCTTACCTGCACTTGATGAGTTACGGTCATAAACAGTAGACAGGTGCAAAGCTGGTTTTAATGAATCAAACAAAAAACCGTGACGAGAAGCCCAAATAGAAGAATCAATTCCATGATGACGTGGTCAGAGCTTATTTTCTCAAGGACATATTACATTTCCCTCAAATGTAACATTGTACTTGGTACAATGTCTGATGTCCCTTGGAAATATTACGGAGGACATGGATTTGACACAGCCTCAATGCTTGCATATTGCATCTATTTGTGTCTTTGGGATATTTTTATACTCCTCTGATGTGACAGTCGGGTATGTTCCTCATCTAAAATGTAGTATGTTTATATGGAGAAGTTTAGTGCAGAAGCCCCGTACTGGGCGAGCTTACTTTCTCAACATTTTTGTACTTTATCATTGTCAAAAAAATATCATGATGAAGGCAAAGAACAATCTCTGATGCCACAATTGTTAGTGTGGATCATGAGGAAATCTTTAACAGATGTGCTATTCTTGTACTTAGTTGTGTTCCAACATTTTGGATTTCTATTTCAAAACTGTTGATACTTTGCTGTGAAGTCTGCTTTTTGGTACATGTTCGGAATCCCCCTGCTTCTCTCACTTTCTTTTTTTAGTGCTCGTGACGATGTACAGTGAATGCCGTATGTCTGACTTATGTGGTGGTATAGGCACTCTTGGAAAATGACAACAAAGGTGAACGAATAAAACCTGAGTATGTTTATTTTTGTGCTCTTAAAATATGGAAAAAGTTGCTCGCAGCATATCATTAAGCTATGTTTTAATAATAGAATTAAGACGAAAAGTTGAGGTAAGGTTCTATGCTCAACTCATTATGCTTTAATAGCATTTGGATTTTGGAATGCTACAGAACACCTTATGTTGTCAAAGTCATCTTTGAGGCAAGCCATATCGTAGTTTCCTTCAGAGGGCCGTTATGGCTGTGAACCCAAGTAATACGCAACAAACTGATAAATAACTTGGAAATCAGAGACCAGTAAAAAAATTTTAAAATTGAATTACATTTATTTTAAGAGGGCTTGGGAACAAAACATGCTTGCAATATCTCAATGTCTTTAAAAGTGAAGGCAATTTAACAATTTTGTAATTTTAATTTGCTTTCATGGGCCACATAAAATGATGTGGCGGCCAGATCTAGTTCCCAGGCCTTGAGTCTGACACCCGTACCCAAAGGTGACCTGGTTGAAAAAACCTTTGTGAGATTTTGCAAATTATTACATTCCATCACAAAAACTTGGCAATCCCCCCCAAAAAAAAAAACGGAGGCTGGAGCCTTTTCGCCCTAACAACCTGTGCCGCAAGATTACCCAAAGCCACTGAACCTACCTCTACATGTAAAACAAATATACACAGTATCTTCCTTGAAGTATTTGTTGGAGGTAAATCTTGGTAATGAGGATGTCTTGTGCACAGGTCTTGCCATTTCCTGAACCCAACCTCTTACTTCTAATCTAACCCAACCCTAAAATAACATACACATGTGGACACAATTGTTGCAACCCCTCTGATGATGAAAGCGGTCAAAGAGATAACTGGAATCCTCCTGTGGCCACGTCCAGGGAGGTTGGCTACCCGTCCGGTAGATTTTAAAGGTCAAATTTGCAGTACATTTGGCCAACCATCTTTTGAGTAATACTTAGAGCTATAACATTTTCAAGCATACTTTAGTTTTTTGTTTTTGTTTTGTTTTTTAACATAACCCACCCACATTCATAGTTTGACCCATATCAACGCGCTTAACTACGTAAATGGTTTTGTTCGTCAATCTCTGGCGACTGACGTCATTTACAGAGTGCCGAGTACCAGTCAGCCATTGCACTGCATTGTTGATTGTCCTGTTAACCTTTCTTTGCCATTTTTATCTGGTTATTCGGCGAAATGCCTCGGCGCAGTGTGGCGATGAACTGTTCACATTCAGGCAAACAGTTGTTTGAGTATCCAAAAGACAAAAATAGGGCACGTACACGGACCAGAAAATTGGAACGATACAGTTGCATTCTCGGAAAGTGAATGAATTTCATGCCGGTGTCGAAGAGCATTCTTTGTTACCAGCACTTCAAAGACCTCTGTTTTCTCAACCGGATTTGCAAAAAAAGGTGGGTGTGTCAATCAATTAATAACTCTGACTGTTGTTTTTGAAAACATTCGATTCAAAGTACTAAATGCGTACAACGATGTAATGCTGTACGAAAACATTCAAACTATGAGTGCATGGAGGGAATCCAACTAACAATGCTGCCGATATCATGCACGGTGTGGCCAATAGTGCAACAGAACTATCTTAGCAATGACAATGGAGGAAACCAACCCACTATAATGTGTGCGCTGAGTGCTTGCGGGAATACACGGACCAAGTAGGTAATCCCATTGTGTGCAATTTACAGCACGGCACAGTATCGAATTGCAAAGAATAATGCAAGGCTAATTACCGCAGCCTATATAGCTGACTGTTCTTCCACTTACGACGATTCTCATAACCACTCCATGTCCGGCCGTTAACTTCCGGGTTTGTCGCTTATCACGATCTCACTTCGGAAAATTACTTTGTCGAATTTACGAAATACAAATGATTTTTTTCATACTTTAATGTATTTTATTTCATTACTTTATTTGTGACATAGAAATATTTCTTTTGGAATACAGTATCCTAAAATTGCTTTAGATTTCTCAAAAATATATGCAGCAGTAGGTACAGGAACACCAAGCTGTCTGGAGATGCTCTTGTAGCCTTTACCTTAAATTTGGTTGACTATAATTTTCTAATCTCCTGAGACAACTACAGGATCTTCTTTGCTTCCACTGGTCCATATTTAGTGTGGTACACACCATGACACTAAACAGCATTGTCTGGTTTCCATTGGTTCATTTTGTATTACTTTCTGTAACCTCTGTTTTTTTCTTAAATGAGTACCAAACAATTTATAAAATCAATCTTAATTTCAATTGGTCAATAGAGTAAAATACATACTTTTGTATCCGTTTACAAATGAATAACAGCAAAGAGCTCAGACTAATTTGAAGGGAAATCCTTTACGTCTCCCTCCTGTTTCGCATCCTCAGCCCACTGAACTCTTTGGGAAAGTCTCTGTGGACATTACTGTCACTCTCTGCAAAAGCTAACATTGACAAATATTCTGTTTCTTCCTTCTCTGCCTCCTCCTCAGTGTTGGGACATTCTGTACAACTAAACTGAAGTCTCTCTGCCTCTGTCACCGGATCTTCCTCATCAGCTTCCTCCTCCTCTTCCACCTCTGTACCATCATCTTCATCCACATCATCATCCTTCTCATTTTCTTCCTCCTCCTCCTCTTCCTTCTCCACCTCCTCTTCATAGGTATCTTCTTTTGGGTAGTGAAATACATTTCTGTGGTCATTAAAACTAATATGCTTCCTCCCTCCTTTTTGACCTTGTAGGTCATTGTGTACTTGCAGACCTAATCTCTCATGCTGTGTATTCGTAGTTGCCTGGGAGGCAAGTGGAACCAGCAAAAGTCGTTTTTCAGCTTCTGCTTCCTCCTCCTCCTCCTCATCCTCCTCCCCATCCTCCTCTTCCTGCTCCTGCTCCTCCTCCTCTGCTATCTCCTCCTCTTCCTCTTCTTCTTCCTCCTCCAGATCTTCGTCAACATCTTCCCCATCCTCACCTTCCTCCTCTTCGTCTTCATCCTCCTCTTGTACTGTGGATAGTTTCCTCGCTCCAACCTCTTCCTCCTCTTGTTCCATTCGCTCTGCTAAGGCCTCCGCAGTGGGCTGGGTGATGGGCTCCTCCAAAGCCACACTCTCTAATTCACATTTGTAATCGGGTACTTTGTACTCGGGGTAGGTCTCTTCTGGGTAGCCTGTACAAAAAAAAAAAAAAAAAAAGAGCATGCGGTCTGGGCACCTGTCTGTCATCGGCAGTCCGACATTATTTCAAGCTAAACGAAACTGTAATCTTCAGTCTGTCAGTCAGTCATTTTATTTTCAACAACGCTTCCATCATCGCTTCAATACGTAAATTTCATTGCTCCGGCAGTGAATTTCACATAGCCTACACTATTTGGCAAACTATTGAACTGTTAAGTACAGCAGGGCCACACAGGTGGCTGACTGCTACGTTTGAACTCCTAAGACGCCAAAATGTTTTACTTAGTAAACTACAAAACAAACTAAGTTTGATTTACCTTAACCAGAATCTCTTTTCGCATTGTTGCCAATGGTACAATCCTGGTGGATTCATGTCATGTTATTCCTCATAAATCCTTTTGAAAACCGAAACTAAGTTGCCAGGTCTATCAAATAATGTTTTTCCTTCGATTTCATCTTCTTGTTATTGCTGTTCTTGTCATGGTTCTACTTTGCCTTTGCCATGTTGCTCTGCCTACTCTGCTCTCCTCTCCCTCCCTACAGTGCTGGAGTGGTAGGAGGCGGGGCCGAACTCGGAGGCGGGGCCGAACTCGGAGGCGGGGCCGAACTCGGAGGCGGGGCCTCACACCCACACCTGTGCCTCATTCGCTTGAATAGGTGGCAGCCTATTTAGCCAGCTTCTCCTATTGTTCTGTGCCAGAAAATCCTTGACATTCGCACGGTGTCTTGCCACATTGCTGGCTTTCCTCCTGCCATCTGATCTAGTTTATCTTGTTGTCATGAGTATGTCCCTGAAGATTATTTTCAGTTGCTACTTTGTTTCTTGATTATCTGATCGTTTTGGTTTTTAGTATATTTATTTGGTGTTGAAACTTTGGACGACTATCTGTGCTTCTTCTCACGGCTCATAAGGTCTTCTCCTTCTTTTTCTTCTTGTCTTTATTACCACCACCCTCTGAAATGGGGTGTGGGGCTGCAGAATACTCCTAAGCTCCTAATGCAACTCATTTCAAACTAAAAATTTGAATTCAGAAGAATTTGTCTGCAAAAAGTGTCTCTAGTATTCAAAGCTACTTTCAGACCTCTCAGCTCATTAATTAGTTGTCTTGCCTGACCATAATGAACACATTATTCAAATACATGCTCCATTGTCTCTTTGGTGCATACCACCACCAGATGTACATATACACTCAATGCAGTCTACTCAAGCTTGTTGTATTCACCCATTCGAACAAACATTTGGCAGACAAGTGAGGCGCGTTTCCGTCAGTTATCAGCGAAATGGGTGTCCATCAGTGACGGACTGAAGGACCTGCCGTCAGTCTGACAGAATACATCTCTAGAAATTAACATTCTTGGAATGACGAAGGAAATGTGACCATCAGAACAGATTTGCTGCCCTGAGGAGACGCAACAGAATCTTAGCTGAATAAGCACTTAGGTGATAAAAGTAAATATAAAAACTGCTTTTGGTTGGGAAGATAGCAAAGTTAGTGACAGGTGGGTTGTGAAAAGGCAGGGGAAGTATACCTTCCCAGTCTGGACTGTAAGGGACTTCTTCTGCCTCCATCTCTGGGGAGGCACCCTCCACGCGGCCCTCTTGCATTAGATTTGCGATCTGCTTCAGCTGCCTGAGGAGTTTCTCTTCCTTCTTTGTTGGAATCGATTTACTTTTCCTGCGTCTTCCACTGTGGGGCGGCAGAGAAACAAAGGAGAGTCATCACCGAGTCTCTTGACTTTCAATGGCGTCAGGTGGCAGCAAAGCTTTTAATGCTGCCTGCTGTAAAACTGCTGTTTTCTTTCCTTTCATTCAATTCTTAGGGATGCAGTGATTTGTTCCAGCATGAATTTATTTATGTGGAGTGTGAGTATATTATCAAACTAACCTCCCAGAAGCACAAGTATTTCCTGAGACAATCCTCGCCATGATCCTTTCTGACTGAAGTAGTCGCTCCTGTAGTCTGGCAAGCTCATCGTCAGTTGCTAAGAGAAACACACCCACTTACTATGACGCACAGAAATATCATGACAATCAGGGAAACTGCAAGAGTTACTAAAAAGTTTTCACATATAAATTTAAATTGACCTTCTCTAAACTTTTTAATGCACATGTGCAACTGTTAGATGCTCCACACCTTTCTGCACAAGACAGGTGGATTCAAACGTTTACAGAAGGTCTAAAGGGATACTTCACATATGAACACCACTTGCAGCATTAAAAAGTTCGTATTTTGCCTCTGAATAACTTGATAACCATTAATCTCCATGTACATTTAGTAACTTTAAAAAAATAATAGGTGGCCGCCATGTTCAGTGAACATGCCACTAGACAACCGTCACGTGCGTATCAACTTTGGAATAGACTGCACCATGATATACGCACACAGCTGCGCTGTTGTAGCGTTAATCATGGAAAAAAGAAGCCAACTAACTTTAGAACATTTATATTTTCAGCGAAAAACTCAGAGGTTATGACACTTACCCGTATTCCTCTCCATGCTCATAGTTGTACTGTACTGCCCTGATTTTGTAGTATTCTTGTCCTTGCAGGTTAACTGGCAACATGAATGATATAGTTTAGGCATGATTGCTGTGGAACAATAATAACAATGACAATAACATTAGTATGAATAATAATAATAATAATGATGGTCATAACCTTGTAGATTATATAGAGGATGTAAAGAAGAATTCCAAATCCATATATGGGTATGACTTGAGCCATCAAGTTGTATTTTTTACCACGTCCAATGCTTCTGGCTTTGGCAGTGGCCTCAGCGCTGTATGTCATGGAGTGGAACGGATCTGCATCCCACTGCTGCGGGTCATCGGACAATGACACCGGATGCATCCCTGGCGGGCGGAAACCAGGGCCAACTACACAAGACATAATGGGCTCAATACTAGTAGACTTTAGTCATCAAAATGTACAAAACGGAAATACAAACTGTAACGAAATGTTAACTGTGTGAGTTAATATCAAATGAAATATAGTAAATAGCTCATATTTATTATACTGTCCATATACACATTTACCCCAACACTAGGACTGTTGTTGGATCATTGTGACTGTCTGTGTGCCCCTGTCATGTTTTGTTTCTGTCATAGGTTTTCGGGACTTTGTTTGAGTACTTCAGTTAGTTTTTTTTTCCTTTGTACTCCTGTTTTTGTATTTTTGTTAAATACATCTTGGTCAGTCCACTCTGCTCCTCCCTGCCTCCCTGCTTTTATCGGGTCCTCCAACTACCATCATGCAAAACGTGACAGAATGACCCAACCAAGACTGGACACTGCAGGACCGGAGGCCAGATCCCACTGCCACCCGTTCTTGTTCCGGCAACAAAAGTGTTGCGGTCGCCCTGCGTTCTTATTCCCGGCAACACAAGTATTGCGGTCAACTTCCGTTCCTGTTCCCGGCGACGCAAGTGTTGCGGCCGCCCTCCGTCCCTGTTTCCGTCGACGCAAGTGTTGCGGTCGCCTTCCGTTCTGTTCCTGGTGACGCAAGTATTGCGGTCGCCCTTCGTCCCTGTTTCCGTCGACGCAAGTGTTGCGGTCATCCTCCGCCACGTTTCCGGCGGCGCAAGTGCTGCAGCTGCCCTCTATCCCTGCTTACAGCGGCAGAAGTGTTGCGGCCGCCTTCTGTCCATGTTTCCGGCGGCGCTAGAAATCAACGCCTGGCTGTTGTCGAGTGTTGCCCCTCCCACCCCCAACCCCCAACCAGCTGACTCTCGTCTTGCCAAGCCTTTCGGTGACTTTGTGACATCTGGGATATCTCCCTTGAGGGAGGGGTACTGTTATGTTTTTGTTTAGGTTACATGATGCGGTAGCCTTCCGTTGCTTTCCCGGCGACGCAAGTCTGCTTTTTTGGGGTCCTCCAACGACCATCATGCAAAATGTGACAAGTACACAATCAGGTCTCCCAAAGGTGACAACAATACTCAACTTTCATTACATAGAACGGATAATAAAACATTTGGTGACCATTAATATGAAGGAATTTTCTCCTGATATAAATTATATTTAATATCTTCAAAGTTTAGTTCATATCACAACAATATATATCGGTAGGTGGGTAAACTGCAGCTGTGTGAAAATGAAAATGATTAATTATATGACAGTATGTAGTTTTTCGACAAAAAATGTTTGGTTTGGTGGAATCATACTGTTAACAACAATACTATGAAATATATCTCCGTATTTTTATGTACTTCATATGGTTAATGTGCAACGGTTGCAGGGCAGGTGAATACTTTGTTTCTTATACATTTAATATAATTACCTTTCATTCAGTTTAGCTTGTTGTGGGCTCAATTTTGGTTTTTCGACAATTATTGTGGTCATATGAAAAATCTCGTAAAAAAAATCATTTCTAGATATATTAATAAGTTCATTTCATTTCGAGGACAAAAAAGTATTTGAGGTTCCCACTACCCGTGACTTCAAGTTTGATGTCACTATGATCAGGTTCAATGCATACATTTGGATGATCAGCAGTCAAACCACACATTTTTCATAAGACATGTTTCATGAAAAGATAGTTCATTAAAGATAAAGGCTTTCCAAATGCTTGCATTAGAAAAAAAAGTGACAAATACCAATTTAGTGTTATTTGTATATTATTATTAATATTATTATTTTACTACAGCATGATTTTACTGTTTTGGCCCACTAGACATCACTCACACACACACACACACACACACACACACACACACACACACACACACAATTTTCCATAACATTGCATTTTTAGGTACCACGGTGATGCGATTCGACCAATACCAACCACATTCTTGTCGAATGTCACAGCTAGCAGCAGCATCAACAATAACAACAACACGAAAGGTGGATGGAAGATGACGTAGTGAATCTGCTCACCCTGTGGCTGCCCCATCTCCTTTTTGGCTCTCGGTAAAAGCATCCTGGGCAAGAAGAGAGACACGCAGAGCACCGAGCATGATATCAAAGTAACCTTCTGACAGGTTGTGATGGGCATGTCTAACTCGACAACAGCCAGGCGTTGATTTCTCTTTAACAGTAAATCCAGTGTTCTCGGCTGTCGACGCTCATCTGGTGATGTCCTGCTCAGATTAGAGCAGATTATATGAGCAGTCGTTATAGGCGGTGGAATATTATCAACTAATCCCCAGAGAGGGACACAACTGGCCATTTTCAACAGCATGTTGCTTATATGCACCCCGTTGGCTTTGATGGACAAAATGACCCCCAGAAAAGGACAGAAAGGTCAGATTTTAGAATTAGACTGTGGGGGCGATCCCACAAAGCAAGTCTTGAATACTTTTGAATAATTTTTCATTTTCCTTGGTACTATTTATTGGTTACTTATTATATCTTCCTATAGGTAATGGTTTACAAATGTTGAAATACCCAGTTGTCCACTTAAATGCAGGACATGACCTGTACAGCATTCTAATACCGTATTGTAGTTCCTGGGGTGTGTTGCTCTCGTTTTACCAATAGGTGGCAGTGCAGGCTCATGTACAAACCAAATTCATTTTTGATGACAATCTTTTCAGATCGACAGTGACTCCCGAATATTGATTTCAGTTGGGTGGGGTAGGGGATCCGTTGGTGCGAGGCAAGAAGTACCATGGAGTACCCTCACAAAACAAAAAACCAAGACAATGGCTCAGCAAAAAAGCTTTAATTAAATCAGTGGCATATAAAATGAAGAACAAATGACTACAAACACTCTAAGCCAAATTCACAATGTATGAATAACGTAAAAAAAAAAAACATGAAATGTGATTAAAAAAAAAAATCCTAAATGATCAAAATTAACCAAGCCACCAAACCGCTTCCTCCTCTTTGCCTTCATTTTATTTTTTCCTTCTTTTCTTTTTGTTTCTGTTAGCCTACTCTGAGTGATAAATTTTTGTTCTGGGTGTATATTTCACAACAAGCCTGGTAGCAGACCCCATTAAGGAGATTCACAAATCCCAACATGTCATTGCAGTGTCAATGAGGTTTTCTAGTAGTGGTCGATATACAGCATCAGCTAGGAAGGAGGCCCTTTGGCGGGGATTCAAGGTTGTTGTCGCTGTGTCCAAAGCAGGGCTGTTGTTTGGCCATTTATGGGATAGGCCTCACAGGGCCCCTTCAGCTAGGGGCCAAGTGCAAACTGCCCCGGGGTCCTGCCCAATTGCGGTGTCTCTGCTCGCACCAGAAGGTAAGGTTGAAACTTCAATACAAATCTAAACATTCAAACCCAATATAAGTCACTGTCAATTATTATTATTATTATTTTATTCTTTCTCATTTACAAAGATTCTCACTAATTCCTGTTAAATTTCAATAGGATTTAATATTTAATATTTGGAATACAGTCAATAATAATCTGATCAAAATGGACCAAATTGAGATGCTAATATCTATTGTTGTGGTGTCCTCCGTTGTAGATTCGCAACTTTTCTGGTGCCAAAGTACTTTAGATTAGAAATATCCCATGTTACATCACCAATGTCATCAAAAATAGATACAAACACAATGACATTGAGATGCTCTCATCTCGATTTACTCACAAATGTACAAATTCGAATTTTTAAGCGAAATTGGATCATTTGACGAGGCACAGCAGATGATCTCACAACACAGAGCACTGCAGTGTTGGACCTGACTAGACTGCGTGTTGCTGAAAGGAAGTTTACACATTTGGACTGCCGAAAAAACGTGTGTATACTAGTCCAAGCAGATGCTAATGTAAAGTTATAATAATCCATGTAAGGCTAGAATTCGGAATTCAAATAATTTCACGAGCATGTTTTTTTTTTTCCAAGCAGTTTAGGCATTTTTCCAGTGATGGACATTTTTAAAGCCATGTCAGCTCTGGTTAGGCCTTTCATTTAATGCCAAAGGCACAAAGGTCAAGTAGGTTGGACCTTGGGGACTTATTAGCAAAGACCAAGGTGGAGACGAAAACTCCCACATGTATTTTTTCAAAGAATACTTATCAAGAATCGAAAGGTGTTGGGAATACAGATCAAGGGGACAAAACCTTAAGAAATATTTTACTGATATAGAACTGTCACTGGGATTGCTTCTCCCAAATGGATACATTTGTTGCTTTTCACATGCCTCATAGATCTTCGTGGAAATGATCTTAATACTAAAATGATGATGTCAGATTTGAGGCATGCAGAAATGACATGATGATATATTAGTATGCTCTCAGGATATAAGTACAAATATTCGAGTGCCCCTCAAAAATCGTCAGCGTTTCAATGTATTTTGTGTTTCAACCGAACTATGGAACATAAATCGTGGACTGTAAGATGTCAGATGTCAACATTTGGTTGAAAATAACGCTATTTTGAATTTTGGGAAGTGAAACAAGGCACCACAGGAAAATCAAGACTTGCTCACGTAAAAGTTCAACCAATGCACAATTGAACTCCGGTAAATAGAATTAAGCACATCATTTAACTGTTAACAGCGTGGTTGTTTGAAGGAAAAAAAAAACTCTATAATTAGCAATAAGAGGGGCAGCAAATAACTCAACCATTCTCCTGTGTGATCATTTTCTTTTTTATACATCCCGTATCAAGATCAATACTGTGCTACTCAAGGTGGCTGCAGGGCTGGTTGTGACATCGACAGCTCATGATAGTAAAGCTTTCGTACCAGGAGGACACTCAATTCTATTGGCGTCTGATTTCTGCAGCGAAGTGGGATTTCATTTCACTCAAGCAATGCCTGCTGACCATTTTAATCTGGGACCATGAACTGGTGACCTTCATGTGACAGCTTCATTTGCTGACCACGAGGCAGACGGGCAGGCCAGGGCTCTACCGTCGCTGATTTATAATCTGCTAAAAAAAAAAAAAAAGCTATTGAAAGTTATCCACTTTCTTTTGATTTTCCATCAAAGCATGATTTTTGTTCCGAAGTGTTAAGAAACAGAAGTGCGTAATGCTTTTAAACCACAGTTTAGATGAAAATGAACAGTGGTAAACACCATGTGCGATAAAAATCTGGCTAAAAGCTGAAGCCAAGTCACTAAATATACAGTATCTCACAAAAGTGAGAAGATCTCTTAAAGTTGTTGCTCAATATTTTAATAGATCTTTTCATGGAACAATATTGAAGAAACGACACTTTGCTTCAACATAAAGGAGTCAACGTGCAGCTCGTAAAAGCGCAGAATAACTCAACGCCGCTATTAATGTCTAAACTGCTGGCAACAAAAATGAACACAGCCCTAAAATGTCCACATTGTGGCCTCGATGTCAATATTTTGTGTGGTCACCATTATTTCAGCGCACTGCCTTGATCCTCTTGGCCATGGTGTTCACCATAGTCCGAAATTTAACACACCTGAGGCCTTGAAACACGAGCGAGACACATAAAACCCGGAAGGGAAAATGGCTAATTGAGTGCAATTTGGATATTTTCACCAAAGGGGTGCACTCACTTTTGTTGCCAGCAGTTTAGACAATAATGGCTGTGCGTTGATTGTTTTTTTCTTTCAGCGATAGTATACAAGCTGTACACTAAGTACCTTACATTGTCCCAAAACGTTATTATGTCAGCGTTGTAACATAATATTTACAAAAATGGGAGCGGTATTCTCCCTTTTGTGAGATATACTGTGAGTCACAGGTGTCAAACTCCGCTCTTGGCCACTTTCCTGCATGTTTTAGATGTTGCCCTCCTCCAATACACCCGATTCAAATGGTCAGGATCGTTATCAGGCTCCTGCAGAGCTTGGTGATCAGGACTGGTGCTTGACACTTGTACGGTGTGTGAGACTAATGCTTCTAAATTGTGTCTGTGCTATGATATTAGGTATTGGAATAAACACTGCGCTGTGAAGTGTACAACTAGTGCGAGCTCTAACAACTCGACAGTTCCATGTTCTGGCTGGTCTCTTTATTTTTAGGCGACTGTTTAATTCTATTATAAGGCGATGCAATGTCAATGTGATTTAGTTTCAAGGTAAATTGACAATTTATACTGCGGTTGCATTCAGACAAAAATTCCAAAAAAGCAGCAATAGTGAGGAAAATTCAGTCACAGCTGGCATAGATGAATTATTATTATTGGCCATGCCATACTGTCGCTATAATCTTTTAATCCGACGAAACAAATATGCATTTGTGTACCCTCTCTGGGTGAATGGATTATAGATTATCGCTGCCAGGCAGCATAAGATGCCAACAGCGATTATTGCTCTATGTTGAATAAAGCATATACCACTGTTGGGGAACATTTGGCACCAGGAACAATTGCAAAGTAAGTTGGTCATGCTGCAGCATTTGACACAAACTTTTTTTTTGGTCCTATTTTAACGATAAAATGTCAGTATGGTAATTTCATTGTTGTAACAGTCGCCTCAATTGTTAACTGGCTCAAAAAGCACTTCCACTCTGCTCCTCTAATTGGACTTTTGTTGAAATAAGACTTTAGTCTTTCTCTTGAAAACACCAAAGTAGATATCAAGCTGTGCCATTACTAAAATAAGGCACAACTATGAGAGGAAGCACTATGGTGCCTTGTGGTTGAAGATGTTGAGTGATGAGTTTATCGAGATACAAGCTGTCACTCTGCTGATTTTTTTTTTTTTTTTTTTTTTTTTTTTTTTGCTTTGACTTGCAAACACAAACTTGCCGAGACATCATGTCCAGTCGGGCCCCTTGTGGGATAAATGCAGGCTAGAACTGTTTTTTTGACACAGGTGATCATTTTGATACAATTGATCATAACATACTGTTGAGCAGTTGGGAAATTTGGGTGGAAGATATGACACATGGGGTCCCTCAAGGGTTAGTGCTTGGACTTCTTCTGTTCAGTTTGTATTAAAGTAGAACCAAAAAAATACAGCCCACCAGTGGATGTGAGGCTAATGTTGCACATACCACACGTGACCCACCTTTGTTAAAGATATTTGGGCCAGTTTTGCCTGTAATATGGTAAACAATGGGTGATCCGAATGTGAGCCTAACGTGGCCCTAGTAGTTGAAGAAAGGAAAGTTCCGGAATTACCGTATTTCCCTGATTACATAAAACCGTTTTGTGTGAACAATCCATCCAGAGAAAATGGGTGGGT